AGTGTGAATGTTTTAGCCTCAAGATACCTCATCACTGCTTACTAGATAAAATGAGTATAAGCTTTGGGCCAGGGATCAAGGCAAGGAGGAGGAAGGGCAAGAAGCCATGTCAGCAAGCTGGACTCCCTGTGTCAGGAAAACCTCCCTAGAATACCACTCAGCAACTTCTGCTAACACTCTGTGGGCAACATAGTATAACATAGCCACCCCCAAATGCAAAAAAGCTTAAGAAGTAGAGCACAGTATTTAATTTTCTCATGAGCCTCGTGAAGGTGGGAAGGGTAGAGGTGCTGAGCAGGCAGACCTATTGCGTATGCATGCCAGGGGACATCAGATCAAGCAGATCTATTTTCCACTATTTTAAGTATACCTTTTAGAAAATCTTTAAAGATAAGAGATCTAAATAGATTTTTTTTCTTTTGTAATTAAATTCATGGAATAGCTTATATGATCTTCACTATGGGCAAAAAGTTATCAGTAAAATCTCTAGATACAAGTAAATAATACCCAAAGCACCTAACGCCTCTATCCATTTTAGAATTTTTACTGGGTTTCCCTCCTAGGTTCGACCTTAAACACCCCTGGCACTGCCTACGGTTCTGTCCTTGGCATTCTCCTTTCCTGTTCTACCCTCATTCATGTCAACAGCCAGAAGAACCTTCTGCATACTGATGACTTAGAATTTTGGGGCGGGGGCAGCTATGGGGGATTGAACTCAGGGGTACTCCATCACTGAGCCACATCCCAGGCCTATTTTGTATTTTTTTTTAGAGACAGGGTCTCACTGAGTTGCTTACCACCTTGCTTTTGCTAAGGCTGGCTTTGAACTTGTGATCCTCCTTGCCTCAGCCTCCCTAGCCACTGAGGATGACTTAGAATTTTTAAAAGAAATTCCTAGCTCAAATCTCTCTTCAGTTCCAGACCCATAATCCAGTTATAAGCTGAATACAGACCCAATAATCCTCAAGTGAACAAAACAGACTGTATTCATGGCTTACTGAAACCTATCCTCTTCCTTTTTTTTTTTTTTTTTTTGGTGGTACTGAGGATTGAACTCAGGGTGAAAAATGGAAAACTATATTATAAAATGTTTTAGTCTCTCTAAATTATTAAAAATAACATCTTAGGACATTATTAGTGTTATTATAATATTGTTGGTAAGATTGCAAATTGGTACAATCTTTGAGGAGGAAAATCAGTCCTTATTATATTTTATTTTGAGACAAGATCTATTGGCTCTTAAATATGTAAAGAATAAAGGTCAAACCCTTTCCCATGGCTGTAGTTTTGTTCTCCATGTTTTTCTGGTTTCCACTTCGTTCCCCATATACCTTACACTCCATAAACTCACATTCCATACATGTCTGATTTGAGGTTCCATTATGTTTGTTTCTTTACAAATTCTTCCTTCTGTTTATGGTGTCATTAATTTACTTGCTTCTTCAGAAGTAAGTTATTATCCTTTCTAGAAGATCCAGCTTAAATATCACCATCTCTGTGATGCTCTCCACATCACCACAGAGCAGAAGTTCCCTCCTCAGGATTTACATCTCTATTAAAATACTGATGTCTGTTTCTATCACTTCATCTGTACACAATCAGTATACCGACACATACAGGTATTATATAAACACTTGATGATAAATGAGTCAATTTCTAATAGAATTAGACTCAGTTTCCAATTTATATTTGTATGGAAAAATGGAAAACGATATTATAAAATGTTTTAGTTTTTCTAAATTATTAAAAATAATATCTTAGGACGTTATTAGCGTTATTATAATATTGTTGGTAAGATTGCAAATTGGTACAATCTCCGAGGAGGAAAATTAGTCAATATCTACCAACATTTTAAAATGTGCATACTCATCAAGAGTGGTGGTACACATCTGTAATCCCAGAGTTTCAGGAGGCTGTGGCAGGAGGATTTCAAAGTCAAGGCCAGCCTCAGCCACTTAAAATGCCCATTTACTTTGCCTGGTTAATTCTACATCTAAGAATTTATTCTACTCTTACACATTTTAGTAAAAACCACCTTCAAAGATGTTCACTGCAGGGCTGGGGATACAACTCAGTTGGTAGAATGCTTGCCTAGCATGCATAAGGCCCTGGGTTCAATCCCCGGTACCATAAAAACAACTACAACAACAACAAAGGATATTTACTGCAGAACTGGTTGTAACAGCAAAATATCTGAATAACTTATTTATTGAAGACTGTACATAATATGCCTACATCAATTTTTTTTATAAAGAGCAGATATTCTTCATATGTTTTATATGTATTACAATGCCTCTGAAAGAATGTATAAGGTTGCCTTTGGAGAAGAAAACTAGGAGCTGGGATCAACACTGGGAGATCCACTTTTCACTGAATATGCTAGTATATTTTTAAAATTTTGCATCATGTACACATAATACTTAAGTGAATAACTTTACTAAAAATGCCAGTTAATTTCATAAACTTTATGATTAAGAATTAGAATATCTAGCATTTATCATTTATTTGTGTTGGGAACCTTCAAATTCTTCTCTTCTAGTTCTTTATAAAATATCATAAAGTGTTGTAAACTATGGTTACCCTACTGTGCTGTAAAACACTAGAAGTTATTCCTCCTATCTACTGTATTTTGGTACCCATTATCTAACCTCCCTGAATTCCTCTCCCCTTCCCCCAATTTCTAGCCACTATTCTATTCTCTACTTCTTCTTCTTCTTTTTTTTTTTTTTTTTTGCAGGGAAGGGCAGGGGTACTGAGGATTGAACTCAGAGGCACTCGACCACTGAGCCACATCCCCAGCTCTATTTTGTATTTTATTTAGAGACTGGGTCGCACTGAGTTGCTTAATGCCTCAATTTTGCTGAGTCTAGCTTTTAACTCACCATCCCTCCTGAACTGCTGGGATTACAGGCATGAGCCACCTTGCCCAGCTTCTATTCCCTACTTCTATGAAATCAACTTTTTTTGGCTTCTACGTTTGAATGAGAATATGTAACATTTGTCCTTCTGTACCTGGCTTATCTCATTTAACAAAATGTCCTATAGTTCCACTGAGATTACTGTGACAAGATTCCACTCTTTTTTATAGCTACATAATATTCCTGTGTGTGTACATGTGTTTATTACATTTTCTGTATCTATTCATCTATCAGTGGATACCTCAATTGATTTCATGTCTTAGCTATTATAAATAGTGCTATAATAAACATGGGAATGCATATATCTGTTCTTTAGTATTTTTTTTTGTAGCTGGATGCAATACTTTTATTTTATTTATTTTCATGTGGTGCTGAGAATTGAACCCAGAGCCCCATACGTGCTAGGCGAGTGCTCTACCTATGAGCCACAACCCCAGCCCAGGAATGCATATATCTTTGATGTAGTAATTTCCTTTGTATACATACCTCATAAGGTGATAGTTGGATATACGGTACCTTTAGGTTTTTGAGGAATTTCCATACTGTTTTAATAATGGCTATACTAATTCACATCAGAAGATGGAAATGCTAATTACCTTGATTAAACTATTACACCTGTATACATGTATTATCACACTGCACTCCATAAATATGAACTCAAAATAATTCTGAGTGGGGAAAAAAAAGCACACAAAAAGAATACCTTTAATACTAATTTGAAACTGTGTGTGTGTGTGTGTGTATGGCTCTGGAGCTTTCTGCCTCTGAGCCACATCCTCAGCTCTTTCTAAATTTTATTTTGAGACAGGACTCACTAAGTTGCTGAGGTTGGCCTCAAACTTGTCACCCATCTGCCTCAGCCTCTTGATAGCTGGTATACGGAGTTATCGTGCATAGCTCAGTCTCTTTTTTTTCATAGCCCTCTACCAGATTGTCTGCAGAAGCTGTTCATTCAATTATTCAGTGATCATTAGGTGTTAGGGGTGCAAACATATAAAGACCTATGAAACTCAGCTCCCAATCTAACAGGGAGAATGAACTTGTATTCAAATAATCTCAATAAAGTTACTTCTCATCCAAAGCTTCTTTAATAGCAGCTGAGTATAAACCCAACGTTATTTTACAGAGACTACCTTCTGGGATGCAGCTGCAACTGACAGCCAAACAAAGAAAGGTAGGGAAGTGTGACAGAAGTTAATAGGCAGCAGGTAAAAGTAAGACTAGAGAGCAACAGGCAGGCCAGCCTCTGGCCAAATGAGAGTGATGAAGAAAGAGCTGTTATTTAACAATGGCACTGGAATCATCCAACAAAAGTTTGAATACCTGACAGTATTATGTAATAGAGCAAGAAAAAAAAACAGATAAAAAAAGAACAGAGATGAGTAATTAAGTGAATATTTTATATAGAAATTATTAATAAACCAAAAACATTCCCACACATACTACCTTTCCTTAAAAAGGTCTAATTTTAGCAATTACATAMGATATTTATGGCAGATGAGGAAGAGAAGCAATCAATGGTTTTTGCAATGTTAGAAAATGAAGTGAAGCATTTAATGTTTCTTCATGTACTTTACAATTATTTCTATTGTAGAGAAAGACATATAAGAAAACAGAATGTGTCACTTCCACAACATCTTTTCATTTAGTAATATCAAAACATCAGCAAACATTCACGAATTACCAACATCCTGGTCAGATATACTACAAAAGTAAACTGGGCTACAGAGGTGTAAAGCTTAAGGTCCATTGAAAATAACAGAACTAGAAAAGGAAATATATTCTGATTCTAGCTCCTAGTTCTTACTCATACCCTCATCATGAAATGATTCTCTTAAAAAGGGCTCCAAGAGTTATCTTTGCTGTTAAATAACAAACGATTAAATAGAGTTCAATAACCATAAAACATGTTTGAACAAAGAAGAATATGATTTATTTTAGAACAAGAATCATTTGTTCTAAGCAAAATTTAATAAGATTTGAGAACCTTTTTTTTTTTWAAAAAAAAGAAAAAAAAGCCTTGAGTTTAAACATGCTGAATTTCATTTAGTGTAACTTATGGTTTTCTTCCTAAATGCCTACCTGCGCATTGGCTTTCCTTCCATGCACCATGAAAAGTATCCTTCACTACACTCTAAAGCCGAACCTAAAACAAACAAACAAACAAAAACCAGTAACTTAATAAAAGTCATTTCTGATTTTTCCAGCAAAAAAAAAACTTTTATAATAATTTCACTTATTTTGTCAGTCATCAAGAACTTCATATAGTAATAGCCCTCAGACTTCTAATCACCACGGAGTCCAGGGCGGGTAGGAGGACTATCCTTCCTCTGCAGGCTCAGACGGTCACCTGCGAGGTGCAGGAAAGTGCGATAAATGGCCCTGACTGTAGATAAGTCTTGTCCCTCCTCAAAAACTCCCCAGAGACTCTTAATTCCGCCTTCGCCAACAAGTGCATTTCCCGAGTAATCGCCGCTACCCACCACAGTGCCCACCGGACGGACCGGGTGGGAATGCGCGGGTGGACCCGGGACCTGAAGGGTGTGAACTTGCTCCTCAGTGACCAGGCACCGGGGGCGGCAACTGCCTGAACCCAACCACTCGTCTCCAAGCCCCGGGCAGCTGGCACAGGGCAGGGAGAGGACGGCTGCGGACTCACGAGCCCTTCCCTTGGCCCCAGAAACGCTGCTGGCCACCCACTCGGCGGTTCCACGGGACGCCCAGGACTCGCTTCCTTCCCCGCCTTCACGCACCGCCCGAGGCAGCCGTGCGGGGCGCGGACCCCCGGCACCTCCCCCGGGTCCAGGACCGGCTGTCAGCCAGCGAGCGCGCCGCCTGGCGCCCCGCGAGGCCCGCCCCGGCGCCCCAACAGCCTCTTTTCGGCGCCGACTGACAGGCGACCGACGACGCTCCGGCTTCACCCGAGCGGGCAGCTCGGCAACTTGGGATCCCGCGTTTGCAAAGCCAGACCTGGCGCGCCGTCCGGTGTCCGCGGCTCTACGGCCGCTCACTTACCGGCTCTGACACTTTCTTCTCTGCCGCAGCCTCCTCCGCCTCCTCCGCCCTCCTCTCCTCTCTGCCTCCGCCTCTGCCGCCGCTAGCGCAGGCAGGACGCCGCTCCGCGAACTATTTCCTTTCCCCGCACCCTCCCCTAACCAGAAGCAGGAAGTGGTCCTCTCTCTAAATCCTTCCCGCAGAAACTCACATCTCCCGGCCAGAGATTCCGACGCCGCTCCGGAAGTAGCCGCGCCCTTTGTTGGAAATTCCCAAAACCTCAAAGACTACCAGTGCTCGGTCCCTTTCTTGTACCCGAATAGTGACCCTTTAGTTTACTGCTGAACTGGTAGTAGTTGAAGCTTCCTCCTTTCTATGAAGATATGTATATGATATTATATGTAAAAGTATTATATATGTGAATTATATCTCAGGCCCTTACTATGTGAAGAGCTCAGGATACACAGACAAATCAGAAACAGACCTKACCCTCCACATTCCCCACACTATAGCTTTCAAGGAACCACGATTTTATCCAGACTCCAAGGCAGTGCCTTTTCTGCCTAGTATTTACCACCAGGCACAGTTTCTGTGGACTCACTTTCCAATTAGGGGAAAACATAGTGTTCCCCTTCCAATTTGTCTTTTCTTCAAATTCCCCATAGTATGTAGCCCTGTGATTTTTTTTATTTATATATATTTTGAAAGGAAATACATGCTGCAAAGGTAAGGTGTGATATTTTTACAATTTTAAGAATATCAGAAAAAGATCATTGCTGATTTCCTGATAACCATCCTAGGCTAAGCGTTAGTTTAACTGATTTTTCTTTTGCTGTTCTTTACATGAAATCTATCTAGGTCTGTTTAGTTAGTTGTTTCTGAAAGGGAAAGGATGCCTCTTGTTAATAAGCATGTGATGAGGAATGAATGGTGTTTAGGTCCACAGAACTATAGTTTCCAGTCAGTCCTGTGATTATCACTACATGTACACCTGTAAATTTTTTTTTTATGTTTTAAAATTACATATATGGTATCAAATTGTATGCCATCTTTTGCAACTTGTCTTTTCCACTTAACATTCTGTTTGTAAGATCTGTCCATGCTGATTAATGGCTGTTCAATTCAGAGAATTCTTAAAAATGTASTCCTGGATCAACAGCATCAACATCACTTGAGAAATGCAAATCCTTGGGGGTCACCACAGATCTACTGAATCAGAAACTCTGGAAGTGGGGTCCAGTAACTTGTAATTTTTTTTTTAAATAGATTTTTTTAGTTGTAGATGGACACAATACTTTTAAAAATTTATTTATTTTTTTAGTTGTAGTTGGACACAATAYGTTTATTTTATTTATTTATCTTTATGTGGTGCTGACAATTGAATCCAGGGCCTCACATGTGCTAGGCAAGTGCTCTACCACTGAGCTACAACCCCAGACCCAGTAACTTGTATTCTAACAAGTTCTCTGGGTGATTATAATGCATTTAAAGTTCAAGAACCACTGCAATAACATTTCTTTTCACTGCTATATCGTATTTTATATATATCCCATAGATTTTGATAAATCCATTATCCTACAGTAGGGTTCCATGTTGACATATCTACAGCCATCTTGGGTTATAATCACCCTTTTTCCCACCTGGTGATAATAGCACTCATCCCAAACCCTGTGAGACAAAGTCAGTTAGGATAGTTGGCTGAACGTGCCTTATCAGCCACTGATGCCCAGACTGTTTTTTAACTGATATTTAACTTAATACTTTTTGAAAAAAAACCACATACATTCTAGTTGACCATAGCCCATCTTTGCCTACCTTAACATACAACCCCCTTCCTAATGTTTAGGGGTGCAGGGATCCTGCTGTCTTGCTGCCACTGAAGTCACACTGCTCTCTGCCAGTTCTCAACAAAGTAAACGTGTAATTCTGCCTCTCTTTGCCTTTTTCTTTGGCCTCACAACACCTTCCATCTTTGGCAACCAGTTCTAATACACCAAGAATGTTTTTTTCTGAAATATTCACAGATGGATATTTTCACTGTTTCCAGTTTTCCATTATAAACATGCTGCAATGTAAATTCTTGCATATGCCTCCTGTATGCATCTCTAAGAATGTCTCTAGGGTATGCAATTAAAGTAAAATTGCTGAGTGTGCTATGCACAGCTTCAACTTTACTAGCACTAGTAAAAGTTGCTCTGTTTTAATAACATTAGCAAATAATATAGCATGTTTTGTTATCTCATCAATAACCATTAGTCCTCTTGAGGAAGGTTCTAATATCATCATTCGGATTTTACGGATGATGTCAAGATAATACGTAACTTGCCCAAAGTCAGGTGCTTCTGGGAAACATCTTTCTGGGATACACAGCAAGTCAGAGGCAGAGCTGGGACTGGGTGCCCAGTGGCTCAGGACTCCCTGCCTTCAGCCACAGTGTTATGTTGCCTCTCCCACAAGAAGGGTTTAGAGTTTTGTTGGTCTGTATCATCCTCACACTTGGTGTTCCCCCAACTTTAAACTTGTTTGTGCCAATCTTATGGGTATAAAATGGCTTGGATGTATATTTCTCTGATAACTAGTGAAATATCTTTGAAATGTTATCATTTGCTAACACGTTTTTAATTTTTAAAGAAATTATTTCGTTTTACATTTTTTTTTTTTATTGGTGCATGTTGTGGTTTGGATATGAGGTGTCCGCTGAAGGCTCACAATTAGATTATGAGGGCTGTAAACTAATCAGTGGATCAATCCATTTGAGTGACTGATAATCTGAAAGGCGTCTATGCTGGGTAATAACTATAGGCAGTASGGTGTGGTTGGAGGACGTAGGCCATTGGAGGCATGCCTGTGGAATTATATTTTGTCCCAAGCACCTCATGCTTTCTTTCAGCATCCTGACTGCCACGTAGCTTTCCTCTGCCATGCCCTTCTGCCGTACCTCTGCCTCACCTTGTGCCCAGAGAAATGGGTCAGCTGACCATGGATTGAACCTCTAAAACTATGAGCCAAAATAAATTTTTGTTGGATATTTTGGTCACAGTGACAAAAAAGCAGACTAACAGAGTACATTATAATTACACCTAACGGTAGGATTTGTTGTTACATATTTCTACATGCACACAATAGAACAATGTAATTTGGRTAAAGCATGTTTTATGTGTGAAAAGCTGGCTTTAAGGTTTTCACATGTGAATTGCCTATAGTAAAAAAAGACATCTTCAAAGTGACCTTAGGTTTTTTCCAAAATATGAATTATATTTTAAATTATTTGTAGTGATAATATTGAAGAAGGTATGAAAATGTAAGGAATACGACAAACCAAAGACTGATTTTTAAACTCTGGGCCAGATAAGAGCAGTCCCTCCTCCTTTTGTGAATCTGTGATTCACTCTCCAACTCTCTGCAATCTGGCTTCTGCTTCTGCTACTCTATTTCTTTTTAAAGTAGAGCAGTTCAATGTGAATCCACTCTTTCTACTTATGTTAAGCGCAGGAAACTCCATTTAGAAATATGCATATGGCAAACCTGGCATTTACAATAAGTACATGACCTCCATCATTTTGGAAAGATGATGCTGTTGGAGGCCTTGAGTTTCTAGTTGAAGATACACCCAAAATAGATGTTACCTAGATTCAGTGTGAGGCAGTGGCAGCAGCCTAGCACTTCTTCAGGGGTTGCTGAGCTAACTCTTAGTCTTTCTGTCTTTTGTTTCTCCCCATTTTCTACCGTGCATTGTAGTTGTACAGCATGGTGGGATCTGTTGTTACAATGTAACTGTGCAATCTGGCTAATGTCACTTTCCGGCACTTCCCTTTCCCTCTCTCCCGTCCTTCACCCTCCCCTCTTCTCTACTGATCTCCCTTCAATTTCATCAATTAGAAATCACATCTTGTTTAACTRTAGGCAGGTAGGGTATGGTTGGAGGACGTAGGCCACTGGAGGATAAAATACTGTGCAGGGGCCCCAGATTCAGTGGTAAACAAGACCCATAGGCCCCTTATTTTGTGGAATTTTCATTCTTGAGAGGATAGGCATTATAAAGTTGTTTACCATTGAGACACAATTGAAAGTGACAGACRGGTGCTAAGAACCACCTAGCAGGGCATCCTATCTACACTAGAGGGTAAGGGCAAGTGTGGTAAGATGTCCCTCCACTTCTGCAGGTGCATTTTTGTCCCTTCAAAATGGTCTTTTCCCTTCCCACTTCTTTTAACGAAGTGGGGGGTGGAGTATGGGGTGGGAAGGAGTTCACCAGGAGTTCACCAGATGTTATGCTGTTTGGACTTTCCAGACACAAGAGTAATTAGCTAAACAGACTTGTTTTATTTTTAAAACACCCAGCCTCCAGCATTCCGTCAGAGCAACACATAACTGACAAAGACAGGTGGTATAACAGGAAGTGCTGTGATGGGAGCCAGAAGACCTGGTCTCAGAGCTGACCCTGTGAYGTCAAGCAATCACTTAGTCCTCTGAATCCTCAGTTTCTCATCTGTAAGTTGAAATTTGAATCCTTACAACCTCTGAATCAATAGTTATTAGTTATATGAGACTTGTATGAGGCAAGTTATAAAACCCTCCTGAAAAAGACAAAAGTAGATTTTCAAACATATATGAAAAACTTTCCATGCTATTGGATAGGATGACTCAATTTCATAAAGMTAACAGTGCCCCTGTATCAGTCTGTTTTCTGTTGCTATAATAAAATACCAGAGGCAGGGGAATATAAAATAAGAGGGTTCTTAATTCAGAGTTTGGGATGCTGAAAAGTACATGGTTGTATGTCCCCATATGCTTAGCCTTTGGTCAGGATCTCATAGCTTATGTATCACTATAGTGGTTCCACAGGCAGAAGASAACACATGGGAAGCCAGAGATTCAGGGGCTAGTCTTGCTCCCTTTACAAAAACTCAAGTGAGAGAACTCACTCTCTCTGCAAGAGAAGCAGTAATCCTTGCCCAGGGTGATGTCCCTGTGATCGAATTATCTTGCAGTTGGCCTCACCTTTTAAAGACTCTACCGCCACTCAACGTGGCACATTGAGCACCAAGCTCATGAGCCTTCCAGGGATACACTCGACCAAATCCAAGCCCGACCATCCCCAAAGTTAATTTATAAACACAACACACTCCAAGTATCC